TATAAGGATGGGGAAACCTGCAGGCAGCTGAGACTGAAGCTGAGACTGAAGACTTAGATGAGTGACGAAACGTTTCTCCCATTGAATGGGAAACAAAACCATTTGTTTTCATTGGAAGAAATGAACAAAATTAATGGTTTAAAAATACTGTATGTATAAAAATCTTCCTCTCACACGCTGGGGGATGACGTGCATGTGTTCAAGCTCGAGTTGTGGGGGAGACTGGTCCCTTTTTCCTTTTCTTTTTTCTGTCTAATATATATTTATTATCTTGTCATCGGCAGTAGATGCTCATATGCTTTGTTTTTATTGTGAAATGTTAACAAGAAGTTTTGTGTTTACTTTACTGACTAAAACGACAAGAGAAAAGAAACAATATGTTTTGAAAGAGTTTGGTGGTAAATTAATCGAAACATTGAACATATTATGTTAACACCGGCATTTATATGGGAATTCATGTTGTCATCTTTATGTCTCAGCACCTTATGTGTGCTGGGCTGTGGTGCTTAATAGAGGGAGAGACATCCTGCAAGACTAAACTGGATCCTCCCCTGGACGGGACGGAGTGTGGGGCAGACAAGGTAGGACTGTTTTGCTCAAAAACTATCTGCATCCATTCACGAATCCTCAGAGCTGTAGGTCGTTCAGGCCAGTAGCTTATATTGCGTGTTAGCTTGAATAAATTACGAATAAAGTATTTGTGAAAACATCTTAATATGTTTTTGTCAGTGGTGCAGGGCAGGCGAATGTGTCAGTAAGACTCCCATCCCTCAGCATGTGGATGGTGACTGGAGTCCATGGAGCCAGTGGAGCTTGTGCAGCAGGACGTGTGGTACTGGAGTCCAGTTCAGACAGAGGAAATGTGACCACCCTCCGTACGTCACCAGTTTGTCTGTGTATTTGCTTACTAATATTACACATTCACCTACCTGAGACCAGAAAGCAAAGAGGGGGCATTTTGTTATGATTTCAAATTTGGTCTCATTAACATCACAAGTATTTGAAGTGTTTTTG